GATGAGTTTTCCTGCACATGTTCTCAGTGTGTGTATAAAATATCTCCCCAGGAAAGGCAGTTGCTGGAATTAACTGACATTGGTTTGTTAAGACCTGATATTGAAGTAATAGATACAGATTTTCTACTCCAAGAATCATATTCGACTGTAGATCTAACAAATTCGCAAGTGCTTATGGGAGACGTTCCAAATGAAGGAGATGCTGCTGCATTCGACTCTAATTGTGACGTAGTAGTCTACGAACCGGATGACCTATTTCTGTACGTCGCACCTCAAAGTTACAATTTAGTTATTCAATGACAAAGACTTCTTGATGCATACATAGAAGATCTATCGATAAGCGAGGTAGAGGAAGCTGCAGTAGAAATGAGATTATTGGTTAATCTATTTAGGCAGAGAAGGATGGATATGAACAAGTTGGTGCCGTTGTTCAGGATTGAGAATTCCGACCAAATGCAACCAAGAGGATATGGGTGTCCCTTTTAAAATATGTTTGTACAATAAATAATTTGAACTCAAATAAAAATAAATCTAACATTTATAATTTGAATAGACTTGTTCCTGGAACGAATCGTGGCCAATGTCAAACGCTGTCGTCGATCGTACACCCACCTCAACTTCAAACAGACAGTATTGCTTTCCTGGACTTTAGTTTAGCTCTTCTTTTATGTAAGTGTAAACGTGTTTAATAAATTGTTAAGAAAATGCCCAAAGTGAAATTTAATGGGCTGTGGATTAAACTTCAAATGGAAGGTGAAAATATTTATCATATTTATATCATACTTATTAAACATACATCAGTCTAAATATTTATTAAATTTTTCCTTGCTTCAGATTAATGTCGATACAAAATTTCACATGCATCAGCATGTCAAAACAGCCAAACATACTGCAAATATAAAAAGAATTAGAAATGGGAAAATTGCTTCTATTATTCCAATAAAAAAAAATTAAAAACCGTTAATCAAGATCGTTTTTGGAAAAGTATTGCTGGTTTAATATCCTGAAAGTGTCGACTCTATATATAAATGAACAATGATCCAAATACGGGAAGTCATACATGATAATTACTTCTATGTTATTGTGGACTAAACTACAGACGCCTGTTAAAGAGATATTGTTCAAACATGGTCCAGGAAACTCATTTTTAATATCTTCAACACAACTTGAAAAAGCCAACAATTTAACCGTTACATGATGCATTCAAGACACTTTCACAAACTTCTTTTTACTAAATGCCATTCCATTAAATACATTTGTGATTTTCTTATCGAATACTGCCCCAAATATGGTTAAGGTGGGGCAAAGTTAAAAATAATATATTAGAATCTTTTTCATATTTCTTGTTTAGCTCATGGAGTCAACAGAATTGCAGAGATTATCGGAGCCCAAATTCCTCTTGTGATCGAATTAATTAGCAATGTAAAGAAGGCGTTCCTTAAGGCTTCTTTGCGACTTCAATAATACAAAGAGAGGCTTCGTGACCAACCGGTATTAACTCGATGGGGGACTTGGGTAAGTGCAGCTATTTTTTACGCTGAAAATGATGATAGAATAAAGGACGTAATAAACGAAATATCAAACTCTTTACAGGCAGCCATGTCATCAAAAGCAGTTTTCGAATAATAAGGAGGTGCATAAAAGTCTGACATTTGTTAAAACGATTTATAGTTTTATTCCGGACACAATTACGTTACTAGAAACGAAGTCGTAACTTCTAGTTGATTCTGTGGAACTAATTGAAAATTTTTAGAAGGAATGTTAAAAAGTAAAAGGCGACAATGGTACAAAAGTTTTAGGGAATCTTAAGAAGCAGGTTTTAGAACATAATGAAGACTTTAAAATTATTCAGAATGTGTCATACATTTTCAGAGGTCATTTTGATATAGAAACGTGTATTGATGGAAACCTGTTGCCAAAATTAAAATAATAAAATATAATAATATATAATAAATACAATATCAATACTTAAATATATATATATATATATATATATATATATATATATATATATATATATATATTCTTAGAAAGGGCTTTAGTGACTATGTGAGTAATATATATGGATATATTGGGTTTAGTAGTCAATATATTGGCCTTTAAGTAAAACTCTTTTAGGTTTGCTAAGCTTTCGAGTTTATTTTACTCTTTTTCAAAACATACTAAAAATTAACATAAAAAATTTACATTAGAAAAATGAAGTTCTTATGTCTTAAATAGGCTTACCCTTGTGAGAATTGTCTTTTAAAATTAGCAAAATTTTTACATTTTGTCATTATGTCATTAACATAATGACATTAAATTTGATTTACTTTTTATTTCTGTCAAAACTTATTACTAAGGTTTCCATATCTCTTCTATTTTTTTTTTTTTTATATTTATTTTAGGTGAGTTTGACAGAAGAAGTGTCTATGTTTATGCAAACCTTCATTGCAAATTTGATATAATATTAGTATAGAATAATATAGAAAGCTCCAATGTAGTATACTCTCTACCCTGTAATAATTGTAATAGAATATATATTGGAGAAACGTCCAGAAATTTATCCGGAAGATTAACATCTCACAAGAGTGATATTAATCTGAATAAAGTACAAGCCTGTGCATTAAGTGAACATTGTATTACAATGGGCCATACGCCTAACTATGATCAAACAGAAATATTGAGAAGGGAAATAAATTACAACAAAAGACTGTTTCTAGAAATGTGTTTAATTAAAACTACACAAAACACCTTAAACAAAAGAGAAGACATTGAAAATCTTAGTGCTATATACAGTAATCTTCTTTTAAATAAATGAATAACAATATAAAAGTTCTTAAAAGTTACGCATATGAAAGGGATTATTCCAAGTTCAAATGAGATAAAATTTATTTTTATTTGTATTTTTTCTTTCTTAAATACTTAGTAACATAAACTCTGTTGCTTGTTTAATAACTAATATTATATCAAAATTTGCAATGAAGGTTTGCATAAACATAGACACTTCTTCTGTCAAACTCACCTAAAATAAATATAAAAAAAAAATAGAAGAGATATGGAAACCTTAGTAATAAGTTTTGACAGAAATAAAAAGTAAATCAAATTTAATGTCATTATGTTAATGACATAATGACAAAATGTAAAATTTTGCTAATTTTAAAAGACAATTCTCACAAGGGTAAGCCTATTTAAGACATAAGAACTTCATTTTTCTAATGTAAATTTTTTATGTTAATTTTTAGTATGTTTTGAAAAAAGAGTAAAATAAACTCGAAAGCTTAGCAAACCTAAAAGAGTTTTACTTAAAGGCCAATATATTGACTACTAAACCCAATATATCCATATATATATATATATATATATATATATATATATATATATATATATATATATATATATATATTGTTATGCTATGTAGAATCGACAATAATATTGGTTTTCTTAATATATTTCAAAGTACAAAATATAATAATTCTAATAATTCGACTAATAAAATATAAAAGATATTTCGAAGAAATGAAAGTCCATTATCCTGGATTACTTGTAGTAAACAAAATTTTAAAGATATGCATAAATTATTTTTTTTATAAAGTGACGTGAGTGAAATTAGTGAAACCATGAACAATGCGAGCGGGTTTTCGTAATGGACTTGTACAGTGAATAAGACAATACAATAGAATATTTTGAAAATATATTTCTCCGTTAGTTCTTAAGAATTTGTAGAAACCGATTAGCATGTTAATAGTTTTTAGGAAATTTATAATTGTAGGTGAAAATTGTTGCTTGTTATCTGAATGAAGAGATGGGGATACGTATGACAAGCTTTGATTGGAGGAGATTGAAAAAAGTCGGATGGTTTGTAAGAATGAGAGTTAACTAGATTTTTGAGGAAAAAAGATAATCAGTTGGTTTCCAAGGGTACAAGGCAAACAGCCGTTGTTCTCTGGTGGTTCCCCAGAGGTACGAAGCAGTAGAAGTGAATGTTTGTGAGTTTTTCGTGAAGTTAGTGTATCTGACAAAAGCTGATCCACTAAAATATTGTAAGTTATATTTTTCTACAGAGTCACTGTTCAGGCCAGAACAAGAGATTCAGTTTATCGAGAGGAGAAGAGGCTAGCATAATTTGAACGATACGTGCATTTGAAGGAGATCATTAAATACGATAGGTTCGCAACAATTTGTTGTAAGATTGCTGATTACCTAGGGGACTAGAATAGATAGTGTAGGCTACAAGGAACAAGGATTTATACAACTCATCATCCGAGAGATAGTTTTACTATTCATCAGTTTTTCTTTATTAACAACACATTTGTTTTTACAATTGCTTTAGAAAAGATAGAAATATTTTGATCAGGAGATTTAGAACAACAATTTTGATTTGAGATTTTAAATTTATACTGTATGTACCATAAATTTTGATGGTTTACGTACGTAAAACCAAAATTTGGATAATCATTATATGAGATATTTTTTATTGAAGATATTTGAGTGTGAATTTTATTTCAATATATTTTTATTTCAATATATAAAGTTGTATCGTATATGTTTTTTATTATTCCGGTATTCTTTGGACCTTACCTATCATATGTAAAGCATAGATATTGAAGCACGAGTATTACCCTGAGATAAGAGAAGTAAATAGTGTGATCTGCATATTTTAAATTAATTGATTAATTAATTAGCTAATTAATTGCTTGGTGCACTTCAGACTTTTAATATCACATTAATATATATATATATATATATATATATATATATATATAATATATATATATTTATATATATATATATATATATATATATATATATATTTATATATATATATATATATATATATATATATATATATATATAATTTTATGATATTATTTATTTGAATGGACCAAACGATTCTCCGCTTCTAGAATGTCCCTACTCTAAGAATGTGCAATTTTCCGAATGGATTTATGAATGGTGATACCCGACATGTGATCTGAGCTTTAACATTCTTTATTTCTTCATTCGCTTCTTTAAAGAAATGCGACAGTGCCTGTGTAAGTGGCGGTATAGCGTTCAATGTAAGTAAAGTTTTTGAATAATATAATTATTTTCTATTTGCATTGTATTTAACGGTTTAATCAAAGAATAATATTCCGCTGAAGTGTATTTTAGTAATAAATAAATTTACTTAATTACTTTATTGTTATAGCCATTACTATTAATTCTGGTCAGCTTTTTTCTCTTCTGTTTTAACTCTCCACAACCAACTCTGTCGTTTTTCTCTATCATTCACTCGATATTTTTATTACTTTTATATTGCCAAAAAATTTTTACCTATGTATTGTTTGTCATTTTGAGTACCTAAAACATCTTGATTATGGCTTTCATATGTGCTTTATATATGACAACAGTTTCTTCGAGTTATACCTTGTATGCTTTTTAGGTATCTCATTTCTATTGATTGCAGTTTGCATTCTTGTTATGTTGATAAATTTTTGTTTTCATCACTGTACGATAATCTTAGTTTAAACACCTGGCATATATTTCTTTTTGTAAACTAGATATTAAAAACAACTATGTTAAAATTTCCTTTCATTTCGTAAGATATACGTCATTTTTACCACCCTCTTGTACTTTTAATCCAAAGTGTTTTATTTTGTTCATTTATACAGTCTTTATGACACACTCATGGACAAAAATATCGAATATTTTGGAATTTTCTTTTTTTTTTGAAATAAATTCTGGTCAACCAAGTCATTTATTGTGAAAAAGAGTTTATTTTAACAATGTTTAATGAACAATTTTAAATTTTTATGATGAGAAAATTGCGAAAAAAAAAGAATGCTTAATGTAGGTTAATAAGGTTTTTTTACTCTAAACCTAAATGCTAACTTAAATTACTTAAACAAGTCTTTTTAATTGAAAACAAGTACATGTTCAGTAACGAGTATTTCCCCCTCTAGCTTTTATTATTGCTTGCAGCCTTCTTGGCATGCTTGCAACTAAATTTTGGACATATTCTTCTTAAGGTGCCTTCTCTATTACTGAAGGTTGGCTATAACTACAGCAAATTGCTCTCTATATAGAGCTGTTCTTAGTATCGAATGTGTGTCCATGCCTGTCCAGTCTCTGACATTCTTTAACCAGGAGCATTTTCTTGTTCCTTCCACTTCCCCTTCCATTATAAGTCGTAGGAAGTTGTATTTTTCGCCTCTGTTAATATGTCCTAGATAACTCGTTTTTCTGTTTTTTACAATATTTAGGAGTTCCCTCTCAATACCCATTCTTCTTAGCACCTCGTTGTTGGTCACGTGCATCTGTCCAAAAGATCTTCAGCATCCTTCGAAAAACCCACATCTCAAAGGCTTTTATACGCCTCATACTTGAAATTCCGAGAGTCCATGTTTCCACTCCGTATAGCAATATGGAATAAATAAACGTTTTTACAAATTGGTATCGGATATCCAACAATAACGTAGAGTTTATTAAGAATTTTTTCATTCGTTGAAATGCGGACCTAGCATATTCTATACGAGCACGTATTTCGACCTCGTGGTCAAAATCGTTTGTTATCCGGCAACCAAGATACTGGAATCTTTGTAATGGTTCTATATTGTGTTAGATATTTAGTCCCAAGTTACTTTCCCTCTGTTTATGATATTCAAAAGTCGTTGTAAACCCCTAGCACTGTCCGCAATAATGACGAGTGTCGTCTGCGTATCTTAAGTTGTTTACGTATTCTCCGTTGATTTTTATTCCTACTTCAATATTTTCGAGGGCATTTTGAAAGATCTTTTCGGAATATATATTAAATAACAGTGGAGAATTTTGGACATACTCTTGGGAAATAGCATTCCATTCATCCTGTGAAGCAAGCCGAAGCTGCTCCATCGTATTTGGAACGGGATTTCTTTGTCGTAAGCGGCATTTTAGTTGATACACATGTACTCTATTGCATTTAAATCCGGACTAAATGGTGGCCAATTCAATCTTTGAATTTGGATCTCATCAAGATAATTACTTGCTATGGCAGCCGCATGTTGTCGAGCATTATCGTGCATTAACATGAATCTGCTATATCCAATGTAATCAACATATGGCAAAACATGATCTTGCAGGATATTTTGAATGTAAGTGTCACCAGTCATTCGTCCAATACCTTTGTCTTTGTCTGGGTAACATTGCAGGTGGCGAATCGTTCTTTAACTAAATCCACAAGGAAAAAATTCCTGTAGCTGGTTGTATACCACGTATCACAAAAAAGAGGTTAGTCTTCGTAAATGGGTATATTTATTTACAAAACCCTTAAAAGGGCTACATCAATAAAACAAACGTTTTCGGACCACACAGTCCATCATCAGGTTTTAAAATCGAAAAAATGCTAGGTCACAATGCCTGAGCCACCAAAATACTAGGGTAAAAACCCTTTAAATTACATTTAGTTATAAAAGATTATACATCGTGTTGTAAAATAACTGTGATGTTCAGTATTAAATTAAATTTGGCTACAGGTAACACATGGCTGAAGCGAGTTCCAGAGCCGGTGAGAGAACCTCTACACACGGAGAACAGCTGGTAACTCTTATTTAACTCTTCTGTAGACGTGGTTTCGACCATCTGGCTTAAACAATAGGATTTTGGTCTTATCAGTGAGAAGAACATTTTTCCAGTTATCGATATTTCAATGAATATGTCTTGCAAATTTAAAACGATGAGCTTTATGATTTTGGAAAAGACGTGGAACTTTTGCAGGACGTCTAGGCTTTGAGTCTGCTTCTTTTAATCTTTTTCTAACTGTTTTAGAGCTCACATTAACTTGGCTAACATTTATTAGCTCATTTCTAAGGGCATCGATGTCAATGAGCAATTTCTTGTAGAACCAAAACTGCAAACAGCAGAGACTGAGAAGAATTACAGAAAATATGCTGAGAGATCGAAAGAGAAGTGCAGACATTAGAAGAAAATTTATCGTACAGTGTATAAATGAGTACACGTCTTCTTCTTTTTTAAGTGCCGCCTCCCAATGGGAGGTTGGATATTATCATCACTATCTTCACTCTGTATACTGCTGCTCTGAAGAGTTCTATAGAACTGCATTTAAACCAGTCCCTTAAATTCTTTAACTATGACACTCTTCTTCTTCCTATACTTCTTTCTCCTCTTATCTTTCCCTGTATTATCATCCTTACTACTATCAGCTTACTACTATCAGTACTACGTACTATCAGCCTTAGTAGTTCATATCGCTGTCCCCTCATTACGTGTTCCAGATATTGTAACTTTCTTATTTTTATTGTGTTTATTTTTTCGCCTTCTTTACCCATTTCTCGCAATACTTCCGTGTTGGTTCTTCTCCGGTGTCCATGCTATTCTAAGCATCCTCCTGTAAAACTACATTTCAAAGGACTGTAACTTATTTATGTGTTTTTGCTTCAATGTCCAGCTTTCAAGTCCATATTGCAGTATCGAAAACACGTAGCATCTCAGTGCTCTTACTCTGCCTAACTCATCCCTATAACACATCCCTGCCGAACTCCTCTGGTCATTTCAATTTCTGGACTGGGTTCGTTATCTATTACGATTTGTGCTCTTTGATTCCCTGTAGAGGTTTGTTATTATTCGTAAGTCCCTGGGGTCTACGTTTTTTTTTTAGAATTTGGACTAATTTTTATATAATAACATATTTATAACACATTTATATCCAGGCTTCTTTGAGCTAACACATTAAAAGCAAATAACGCTTCTCTGGTTCCTAGTCCTTTTCTGAACCCAAACTGACTATCATTTATTCCTTCTTTCAGTTTGTTATTTATACGACCATGTATTATTTTCAAGAATAATTTGAGAATGTGACTTATTAGTGATATTGTTCTGTTTTCACTGCAATATTTAGCCTTTGTATTTTTAGGGATAGCACAAAAGGTGGAGAGTAACCATTGTTTCGGTATGTGTCCTGTGCTATATACTGAGTTAAATAAGTCTACTATAATGTCTAAGGTTTCATCATTTATACATTTTAAGATTTCTTGAGGGACTTAGGGACTTGGTCTGAACCTACTGCTTTACCATTTTTGCTGTTTTTTAATTCCATTTTAATTTCCTCTTTTAATATCTTTAAAACCATATCCTCTTCTACTTCTATCTCCATCTGCTCTGTTCCATTGTCTTTGAACAGTTCATTGATGTATTCTGTCCATCTCTTTAATTTGTGGTAAGTATTTAACACAAGTTTCCCATTTGCATCTTTCAGTATTCCCGGTTTTCTTGTTCTGTGTCTTGTGAGTTAATTATTTTTTTTTATGTGTGTTAAAACTACCAAAGACATGAAGATCGTATTGCAGGGACCTATATAAAGATGATCAACACCAAGAGCTTGTTAGCCAAATTTCTGACGAGGTGGAAGAAGAACCTGATATACTCGAAAATGAAGTAAGACAGGCTATCAACAAGCTCAAATATAACAAAGCACCAGGTCCAGATATGATAACAGCAGACAAAGATCATGATTTGAAGATCATCAATTGCCCGGTTGTGAGCTCATACTTATATCTGGGATCATTAATCACAAACACAGGGTCATTACAAGAAGAGATTAAACGTAGATGTGATCTAGCAAAAGTTGCCACAGCAAAAATGACCAAAATATGGAAGGACTGTCAAATTTCAAGAGCGATAAAGATGAGGTTGATCAACTGCTTAATATTCCCAATATTGACCTACGGATGTGAATCTTGGACTCTGAGACAATCGGAGAGAAGAAAAATAGACGCCACTGAAATGTTTATTGGAGACGAATGTTACGAATTCCTTGGACCGACCGTAGAACAAATAATTCAATTTTAAGAGAACTAAAAGTTAGCCAACGACTCTCTAGTAAAATCCATCTCCAATAATTAAAATATTTTTGGGCATGTTATGAGAGCAAACAGAGAAAACATGGAAAGACTCATAATACAAGGAAAGGTAGAAGGCCGAAGATCAAATAGATCAAATTACAGGAATATGCCAAAGACCTATGCATGAATTAAAAGAAATGACCAGAGACAGAGATCTCTGGAGACGGACAATAACGACATCACGTCGACCACTACACTCCCCCTGGGGGGTCAGGATTGAAGAGAGAGAAAACTACCATGTCTTTTCTGATATTCTTCTATTTTTGCGCATTTTTCTTTTAACCATTGTTCGTTCATCCACTTTTTTGTACATCTGATTATCTTTGTTTTTATATTGATGTCATTCTTCCATTAAATCTAAAATTTCTTTCGTTTTTGCTTCTTGCAAAATTGCTTCTCTTTATATCTGGTTGTTATTACAATTTCTTTTTGACTTTTATCTATTTCTGTCTTTATTATACACCATTTTTTATCCGTCTTAGTATTTTGCAGAATTTGTTTTTTAATATTAATTAATCCGTTGTTGATTTCATCTGCCAGGCGTTGCCTTATGAGTGGGCTTCTTAATTTAATTGTATCGATTTTTGCATTTGTTGTTCTTTGTTTTATTTTTTGTTTGATTTTTTGTTTTTGCGGATATAATTGCGTTCATGTATCTTTGTCTAACTACTTGATCTCTCCCTTTGATCTGCTGATGACTTCCAGGTATGAGTCAATGAGTGGGCACAACAAAATAGAAAAAAGAATGAAATAACTACATAGGCATAATGAAGGGGACCCGTGTCGTCAAAATAGTAACAGATAAGTCACCAATCGGCAGACGAAGTATCGGACTACCGCGCAAAAGATGGAATGACAACTTTCCATAGAGGTATTAAACCGCCAATGAACAAGCAGAATAGGTTTATAAAGAGAAAAAAGAATATATATGTCTACATTTCAGATTTCTGAGAGTACTTAATTTTGTTTCATTGCGATTGCTTGTATATTCCACGTTTCTATCCTCTTAGGTCTTTTTTTCTCCTAAAAAAGTTTCTTGTTCCTGTTTCCTTTTTTCCGTTCAAATTCCGAGGCTGTGTTGGTTTTGTTGTTTGTATAATGATTTTTTCTGATTATTTGGTATCATGTTTGGCATCTTAAGCCCCTATTCTGTTCGTCTTTTAAATATTCCCATATTCAATATACTGAGAGGGAAATGATAGAAATGAAAGTACTGAAGGTAGGACAATAGTTTCTCCTGTATGGTATTAAGAGATGAACCAACGCTCGCGTAGGCAGAGATACATCCCTGAAGTAGATCTGTCACCTGTCGTAATCATAGATGAGTATCGATCCGCTACAATAAATAAGCAAGATAGAACAGAAAAAGATACCTGCCTTTTAAGAACATTAACGAACAAGAATGCATACAATACTATGAAAACATTTGGTATAATACTAGCAGTATAGAAAAGTACTTAAAAAATAAATTTCATTATTCAACAATAAAGAATAAAAAAGCAATTGGAAAAACTTCTCTCCCAACCCCTGTAAGACTAGACCTATACCAGATACCCAGTATTACACTCATTTCAACAATTAAATAATAAAATATGCGCAAATCTTAATAGACTTTAAGCACATAACTGATAAAAGAAAGTAATATCAATAAAACTTTTACCAAAATTAAACAATTTTAATGAAATAATTTGGTAAGTGAGATGATTACTTACTTTCATCAGCTTCATCTTTTAAGTATCATTTTTAAATACCTATTGTATAATGTCTATAATCGCTGACCTAAAAACTATTTTTATTGTTTAAAAATTGTGATTTTAAGTAGTCAAAATAATTACTAGAAACATTTATAAATATATTTACATTAAATGCAGAAATATCCATTTTTTTAATGTCTCATAAGAATACGTTAATAGCATGTTGATCCGATTCCTTATAGTATGAAGATTTGATCTGTAATCGACCTATTAATGTTTTTATTATTTTAGCTAGTTACACTTTATGCATGTTAGCAGACGTCGCTGTTGAGTTTTTTTAACTTTTTAACCATTTCTTCCACTTGTTTTTTTCCCTGATAAATTCCCATTGAACTAGTGGTATATGGACCAGACATAATTGATGGTAATGCTAGGTCTATTTTTAATAAACACTTAATTGAAAGCCGAAATATTTCTACTGATTGGCATTGCGCTTCATCTACAAAAAAAGAGCACAAGAGTATGCGCTAATTATGGAGGCATTAGCATCACTAGCTTAGTGGGAAGATTGTATGGCCGAACCCTTAAAAAAATTAATAGAAGCGGAGTAATAAGAATTAGAAGAACAGAGTAGCTTCCATAGGAGTGTTTAATTATGTTTTTGTTAATCTTGATGATTATCTGGGGATGCTCTTTGAGCTTTTAATGCATTGGTTTACCGTTTTCTTATGTATCTCCATGCTATTGGCCATTTCTTGTCTGTCAGCCTTTGGAAATAATTTTCCATTTCTAGGACAAGACCGTACCTTTTCATATACCAACTCTTCTACCCGAAGCTGTTGGTCAGTAATGCGAATTGCTTAAAGCGAAAATCACTCAGAGCCTCGTTTGTTACAGGATAGTACGAATGATCGGAATCAAGATTTATTATATATTGAACCAGTGGTTGTGATTTGTGACTTACGTATTACTTTTTCCAGAGTCAGATTAAATAGTATACAGGAGAGAGGGTCTCCCTGGCGCAGCCCATTATTTGTTTTAAAAGGTTCAGACAGTTCCTCCTTAATTCGTAGTCTACATTCAACTTTTTCAAGAGTTAGTTATGTTAAATTTACCAACTGATTTGGTATTCCCAGCTCTTTCATTGCTTTGAACATTTCTCTTCTATTCACAGAGTCGTAGGCTGCTTTTTAGTCCATAAATATGTGATATCAATGCCATATTCCATTGTTTGTTCAATGCCATATTCCATTGTTTGTTCCAAAATTTGTTTTAGTGTTGCAATCTGATAAATTGTAGATTTATATATATATATAATATAATATAGCTAACGAATAGCTAACTATATATATATATATATATATAATCTATATATAAATATATATATATATATATAAATATATTAGCTCCCCGCCCTGCATAAAGAAATAGTGCTAAAATCCAAAGAACAGCCTCGGAATTGTAGATTTACCACCTCTAAAACCAGCCTGATATTTTCTTACTATCTTTCTATACTATAGTACTGTAGAAAATATTTTGTACGCTGCATTTAAAGGAGTAATTAATCCGTGGTTAGCGCCTTTAAAGATATCTCTTTTTGTGTATGGTGCAAAGTATTACAATATTCCAATCATTGGGGAGGAATTTCTGTGTCTATATTTCTTTTATAAGCTGCTATGATGCCATAATGGTATCATGGCCACCTTCTGTATATAGTTCAGCTGGGAGATTATCTATTTTGTGTGATTTGCTTCTGGTTAGTTTTTTAACTGCATATTTAACTTCAAGAATCTTTCTTGGTTCCTCTTCCCAATCGTCTGCTACCCTTACCTCATCTCTTTCGTCTTCTAGATTTTTTTTCTTCCTCCATATTAAGTGCCTGGTTAAAATATTTCACCCATCTACTCAATACCTATTTCCTTGTTATTAAAAGGTCGCCATTCTGACTTCTCCATTGTCTTGTGGTTGCCTTGAATTCTGTTCTTGATGTTAAGTTTCTTAAAGAATGCTCTGAATTCTTTCTCTCTGTTAAGGATTTCTATATACTTATATTTAAGTTCCGTATTTAGGTGGTTTCGTTTTTTTCTTTTGTGTATCCTCTTTTCTTATCTCCTCTTTGTCTGGTAATTGTTTACAGTTGTTCTAGTTCCTCGGGTAAACACCTTTCTATGGTGCTTCATTTTTTTCTTTTGTTACATTCTTGCATTCCTTGTCAAACCAATGATTTTTACGGGCACAAATTTCTGTTCCTATTTCATCTGTCGCTGCTGCTTCAATGTCTTCCTTTATTCTGGTCTAATAAGAATATATGTCTGTCTGTCCTTCTTCATTTACATTTTGATTCCTTAGCCTGTTGGTGATATTTTCCGAGTACCGTTCTGCAATTATCGCATCTCTCAGCTTTTGCATATTCCATTTTTTTGTATCCATTTTATTTTCTTTACTGGTGTTTGAAATTATAGCCCTCAATGTTGAGATCAGTAGGTAATGATCTGAGTCTATGTTTGCGCCTCTAATTTCTGCAGTTTATTACGTCTGTTTCATGCCTTGAATCTATTAAGATGTGATCAATCTGACTCGCTGCTGTTCCATCAGGAGAGGTCCAGGTTACCTTGTCTATGTTCCTTGCACCCCATATATATATCAAAAAAATCTTAATTTAAAAAAAAAACGACTTATTTAAAAATTTATCCTTAAAGTCACTTATTCACGAAAAAATGAATTTATCTGAAAATTTTGCACCGCAATTTTCTTAGTTGATAATAAGAAAATAATAAAAAATTATATAAATTTTTTTTTTAGAAAATAAGAACATTATGCAGATGTCAACAGCACCTTTAATACAAAATTATCTTATTCCCTAAAATGAAGATGGTTCCAAAATGTGGGGATCTAGTTGCAATTGCCATACTAACTGTGATATTTTTTAAACATTTTAATGAAGTACGTGGCCAAAGAGATAATTTGAAACAATTTCAAAAAATTATTAGAGATACTGCTGAGGTAAGTTATTTTTTAACATTGAACTTTCATATCAAAATGCTGTTACATGCATTATATTCTTTATTATAATTTTTTATTTGTATTAGAAATTATATTTCTAATACAAATGTGTATTATAACTTTCTGTGAACAAAAATGTGTCCAAGTTGAAAATTTCATTGGTGGTTCTCAGACTATGACAGCATGGAGAATTATCACTATTCTAAAGAAAAATACCCGTAACTGCTTAAGCAACTTAATTCCTATAAGAATGTGGGAAAATCACTATAAAAATTTACTACAAGAGTCCAGATTGGAATATATGAGAAAGGCATACAGTATGGACAAACATATAGCATTATTATGGTAACAAAGAGGTCTGTACTACGTTAATTAAAATGAAAAATGGGCTTGCAATATAGCTGTAGAGTTACTTAAAGCAGAGGTCCACTCCTAATAGAATCAGTGCTGCCAACAAATTAAAGTACCATCTGAATATAAAACCGCTCACCAAGTGTCCATCTTTAAAAAGGGTAATCGGAAAAACCTTAACTGCTACAGAGGATTAAGTGTCCTACCTACTTTCGGGAGATTGTTTGGAAAGATAATAAATGGAAAAATACAAGATAATAACGTAGAACATCTAATTAGCGAAGACCAAAGTGGATTTACGCCTGATATATCTTGCTCATAACTTGTTTATACTCCAACAATTAATAGAAATAAGAATAGCGGTTGGTACCGAAGTACATCTAGCCTTCATCGACTTAGAAAAGGTGTATGATACAGTTCCAAGACTTAAATTGTGGCAAGCTTTACAACAATTCGGCATTAGTCCATACATTTTAGGAATGATCACAGAAGTATACAGAGATAACACTACTTACCTAAAAATCGAAAATAGACTATCAGAGCCAATAAAAGTAACTAAAGGTTTAAGACAAGCATGCTGTATGTCACCCTTACTGTTTAATTTATATATGGAGGCAGCCCTCTAAAATTGGAAAAACCACTGCCAGCGAATGGAAATCTTCATAGGAAATGACGTACTGTTCTCCCTGAACTTTGCGGATGACCAAGTAATCCTAGCTCAAGATTCTTATGATCTAGAATTTATGATAAAGCGTCTATACAGATAATATGTAAAATGGGGGTTACAAGTCAGCATAAAGAAAACAAAATATTTAGTTATCAATTTAGATGCAAGATTTGAAGTGTTGATAGACGAGGACGTGGAAATCGAACAAGTGGAAAAATTTAAATATTTAGATGCACTCATTGATAAAAACGGCTTGGGAGAAACCTAAATTAAGCACCGAATTAATCAGGGACGTAAAATTGTAGTAAGTCTAAACTCCTTATGGTGGGATCGCAACATTTCCAAAAGGTACAAAAAATAAGGCAAACCATGGTTTAATCAGTTCTTTGTTATGGTTCTGAAGTATGGACAATTAATTCAGGCCTGAAGCGAAGATTATTGGCAGTTAAAATGGATTATTTGAGAATAAGTGCTAGAACATCAAGGCTTGGAAGGAAGGCCAACGAATCTATAAGAAATAACATGAATGCCTACAGAAACGGTCAGTGACAAAATAGAAAGAAGAGGTTTAAAATGGTTTGGACACCTCTTGGGAATGCCTGACGAACGTTGGCCCCAAAAAGTTCACCCCCTGGAAGAAAAAAAAGAGGTAGACCTCGACGATTGGGAAATGAAGGAATTAGAAGAGCGATGGAATCGAGAGGTTTTTCGATATCAATTTCAAATAAAATGTGTTTTTAAGGCACCAAAGTCTATATAGATTAAGATGGACATGACATTTCAACCTCTGAATTACCATCATTCAACAAGTTGCAAGTCCCTGGAAGAAATAGGAGAGGTAACAAAAGAATATGCTTAGACTTCGATATTGGTATGACCCAAGTTAGAAACTTATGGAGAAATGTAATTAAGAAGCCGATATTACATAAAGAGTAAAGCAAAGAAAATAATGATGAAAATTTTTAGTCTATTTGCTTTAATATGACCAAATCTCAGATCAGTTTCATAAAATTTAATTAAACTGAATTTTGCAAATGTCCAGCATTTTTAATACGTTTTTAAAAGAATGACGTTAAATGATAGGTATCTAGATATTTGTGCAAAACTTGACTAGTTACTCTACATATTACAATGACCCCTAACACAAGTAATTTGTATGCGGGCAACATCACCGATTGCGTCTTTAAAAGAAAGTCGATAAACAAAGGAACGCAACTCATAAAATATTAAGTAATAAATTATTATAAAATAAAAGTGTTACTAATTCATATGCCAAAATGGTTGAGCACAACAAACGGTCTAAAGCAGCACCGGCCATAAAAATGTTCAAATCGTCTTGACATTTGTATTTCAAAAGATATTGCTTTTAAGGACTGTTGCCAATTTTACTGCGAAGTAAAGATCACGTTTCTGTTTCACTTATTTGGTAATAAGTTATAAAAAATATACAACATATTTTTTACAATAATACTTTTTTCGCCAATTATCATTTCTTAAATCCCTAAATTACTAAAGAAAAAAGGCCTTACTGAGTATATCGTATAAAAATATGGCATTAACCACAAATTTTCAATTGGCCTACTTGTCTAATTGTAACTGAAATACTAGGAGTAAAAATAATCTCACACATTTTGTTTTCTAAATCATAAATATATTTTATTCTTACGAATATTTTTCCTATACTAGGACTATACTACTAAAAATCTTGTTTTCAAAACTTTCGGAAAATTTATTATAATCTTACAACTACAGCTATTTCGCCAGAGTGCCTTTCTCAGGCGATCTATTTTTGGTATGCGTTTACACTTTATAGTCTTTAATGAAATAGGTTGAGGAAGGAAGAACTGTTTGTCTCAAGTTGGTCATTCACAATTATGTCTACATTTTTTAATTTGGTAATTTCCATAGATTCTAATAAAGTTAGCTTAAGGCCTTTACTTGGATGTGAAGAATTTGAAATTCGTCATTAAAAGAATAAAGAATGATTATGATCTAGAAGATATGTGGAATCTGTTTTTCTATTATTGAAAGCCCTTTTATATTCTGCTATACGTTTGTTAAAAGGTCTACCAGTTTGACCTATGTAAGTTTTTAAGCAGTCGTCACATTTGGCAGATACCACTATGTAAGTGCATTTTATTTTGGCTCTTTTAAGTTGTTTGTTCTAAAAACGGGTGTTATTCCTATCTTTTTTATTTGTTTGGCTATTTTTGTTGATATCTTGCCTGTATATGCAATCTAGCAGAAGGTACTGGGTTTTTCTCTGGTACTAATTGTTTCTATGTCTAGTGTTGAGTATAGTTTTAATTTGATGTATCTAAAATAACAAGATTTGTAGCGTAAATAAACAAATATTTTAAATTAAAATGTGTGGTCTATTTTTTTACTTAAATAAATAGCCTTATTTTAGGGAAAAATGGGAAATTTCATCATCAAATATCCTCAAAGAAAACCTAACGTTAGACATCAGCCATACATTTCAAACTTAGTACCATTTCCTTGCTCCAACGTCACTAGATATGGCCTTGGACGATCCCGTTTTGTACCAACAAGCGTTCACCAACTACTACCTGGAGATATAGACATTATAGGAGCACTGGGGATTCTTTGGTAGCGGGAAATGGCGCAATGGAAGAATACGCTTTGGGACGCTTATTGAGCATAGAGGAGTTTCATGGTGTGCAGGTACGTATTTATTGCAAACGTCATAGTACACTCAAACTATCTCAAATATAAACAAGAATCTGACGATTTGAAAACTAATACAAATTCTTGTTATAATGGTAATTCCACCATTAAGATGGAAAGATTAAATAAGTATAGTTTTAGTAATTTATTTTGTGTTATTTTCAGATGTAATAATTAACAACTAATAAATTACAATTGTGAAAATTAAAAAAATATATATTTTTTTCAATAACTCAAGATATCTAATTAATTGCTTAAAACTTATATAAAAGACATTGTTTATGTAAAATTTTGTGCAGATTCCAAAGCTGTGTTCAGAATGGCGTTTGGGTTAAGAAAATAACAAGAAATTGCAGAAAACTGTCAAAAAGGACATAAAACTTCGGAAAAATTGTGAATTTGCCATTAAGTGAATGTATCATGAATGTTTCATTGTCTTATATAAGAGCTGTAATTGTTTTACCTTAAATTATATACCTTTTAACAACTTTTTCTAAATTTTTAAAGAAAAAAAACGATTTTTTTAGATATGATTTCTTAATAAAAAGAAGGTTTTTCAAATTTTCCAAATTTTATTTGATAGTTAAGCTAATTTTAACATCGTATGATTCCTCTGATTCCATCGTCTGATGAATGTCGTCTGAAACGCAGTCAAAAGCCTTCGACGACAAGTCGCAAAGAGAAATTACTATGCGATTGCCGCGTTCAAGTCCCTTAATCACCTCGCTCATAGCAATAAATACCACGTTCATAGTAGAACGAGCACTTCTGAATCCATATTGTGAGTTGCTAAAGTAATTATTAAACTTAAAATAGGAATAAAATTGTTGTTTCATAACGTTTTCAATAACTTTCACAAAAGGCAGAAACAATGCGTATGGGTCTGTAATTGTCAGTTTTTGAGGAATAACCTTTTTTGTAGATAGGTAGTACTTTTGAGTATTTTAGTGTTTCTGGAAATACTCCAGTTGATAGAAATCCTAGGGGAAAAGTAAAGGGGATTGATTTTGATATAACCTAAGATAAAAACGTATGGAAAAATGTAATTAGAGAAGCCTATCCCACACTGGGATAAAGGCAAAGAGAATGGTGTTCATGATTTTTTACGCGAACCCTTAAATTAGGAAAATACCAAACTGTTTTAAAAAAATTTAATATAGTTAACATTGTCTAGTATCAATAAGTTTGTGGCAGTCGCATTTCTTATATTCCATTTCTTCAAAATTTACACATCGCATGAATTTTGAAGATGGTCTTAATCTTGATTCCTGTGTTAGTTGATTTCTTTGTGTTTTCGCACTTTGGCTACAATTACCTTGCTTATATTTTCCGATTTGTTCGCGATTTGTGGGTTTGTTGTTTGAACTTGGAGGCTTGTTGAATGAGGGTATTACACTTTGGATGAGAGAATGACCGATACATTTTTTCATCGCGTTAATTTTTGATTTATTACCATTATTTAAGCATTGTTTACAAGATGGTGATTTAGATCCGTTTTTTATTGAGGATTTCCTTTTTTTATTACGATCGGAAGTTTGATCACAAGAGCAACATTCGTCACCATTACTTGCTTTATCGGTTGGGTTCAAAAAGTCGTACATACATTTTTTGTAAAGTTCATAATCAGTTCCATCTGCTTTGAAGCGTTTCTTCGGGAAAATTTTGTTAAAATCAGGTTGTCTTCTAGGAGTGTTAAGTATTGCTCCCATATACCAAGGTTCTTGTTCTTCTTCGTACTCCTGATAACAGCTTTTGGTAAACTTTTTCGGGTCAGATTCGGAACATTCTCCATTTTTGATAATTGTAGCTTGCTGACAATGACCACACGTAGCCGGTTTTGGTGGCTGTGTTTCTACTGTCTCAATTTCCTTGATTTTCTTACACTTGGAACATAAACAAGTTGCCTTATTGGAGGTTTTCTTCGATTTCTTTCTTTTCTTGGTTGATTTTTTAGTTGGAATATATCAGAATATTTGTATTGAACCATTTTTTATCTTAGATTTGGATGAGAGATTTGTTTATTCGTTGATTCAGAGAATGTAGACCTAAAACAGAAAATTACGAAATTAGATATTTGAGATAAAAAATTTACGAAGACGGTTGCCGAAGAAAATTTCAATTCAATTTGAGTCGTGTTTCTGGGTCTACCCAAGACTCAAACTAAATCAAAATGCAACGACTACTCTGGCAATTATAGTAAAAATAATTACCATAGTATGCTATTAGACACGTCTAGTAAGGAAAGATAAAATTAAATGTGTCGATAGCAATCTAAGTAAACTGTATACCCAAGCTTAATCAAGCCATTCAGAGCGATACTGGAAATATTTATATTCCATGTTGATGCATAGTGGAATATAAATATTATAATAAAGTGGAAATTTATTTCCCAGAATCACTTAAAGTGTTTTAAGTGGTTCTGGGAGATTGTTTCTAGTTCCACGTTGTTACTGATTCATCGGTTGTAGACTTATTGTAGTTAATTTTCAGAGCCAATACATATTTTAGTCGAATTAATATATTTTTATACACTATTAAGCACGATTTGCTTGTAGTTTTACTTGGAACATTGCAGGAGTATTTTTGAGAGCTATTGATAGTCTGGTAAATATTAGACTATCCTTGTGATATTAGCAATTTTTTGTATTTTCCAAAACTACATCCAATCTCACATTTAGTGAGAGTCCAATAATTTCTTGTCCATAAACGTGAGTACAGTTTACGCAGTTAGAAAAAAAATATTACCTAAGTGAAAGATAAAAAGAATACTTACAGTTAGTTAATGATTTTTAATTTGATAAATAAGTCGTAAAGCTTCTGTAAAAATGAAATACATATTTTTAAATTTTGTATGTTGTTGTGTACGTATTAAATGATGATTTTTGACATATCGCTGACAATTACGACTCTTACTTCACTAAACCTTTCTTCTCTTTCCATATTTTCCTACAAGCTAGTACGTTATGCCACTCAATCAAACTATTAAATTGTCTGGTATACCTAACGAATAAAAAAATAGATATAACCCTCCATTTAAAAATAAAATTACAATTAAAATATAAAAATGTCATCGTACTTAGATACTTGATTGTAATGCCTTATAGTGTACAATATTTTAAATCTTTTCACATGGAGCGAAAACAAATAGCCCCGATGGTTTGCCGACTCTCGAGCACACTCCAACTTTACAACCCGTGCGAAAAATACTTCAATTTAAGGATTATTTTACACAGTTTTAACGATTGTTCTTGTGATTTATTAATTGACATTGGACCATTTAATTGGAATCTATTTGGGGTGCTCTATGCAAACGAAAGTATCTTAAAACAGTTAAAAACTCTAATATCTAAACTTGCATCTATAATAATTAAATTTTAATAGTAAATAGATGTACTTTTTTGAATAATAAGATACTTTTTTTATATGCTGTTTTTTCATCCACCCGGTATATACACTAATCATCGAGCGGCGCGTGAAACAAGAATCGCTATAGACTACCGTATACCTAGCGGGGTACATTTGCTGTACATTAGCTGTGATTGGTGGGAAGACGTGTCTTAATTTAAAATTTGGCGGGTTTAATGTTTATTGAACTGAAAATGGATTATTGGTAGGAAGAGGATAATGTTCGTATTTTAGGATTAAACAGACTTATTACAGTTATATTTGAAATATGTCTTTAATTTTCCTACACTGAAAATAACAAGGTACATTTGCTGTGATTGATCGGTAGATGTTTATTAAAATGTAACTTGGGTATTGTTGTTTGTTTGTGTTTAAATGACTACGGACACTAAATCCATTCGCCAATCTTACAATTTGTACTCATTTTTTAATTAGTCATTGTTTCCTATACAATCTTATCCTAAATCTATTACTACTATTGAGCTCTAATATATAGTCTTTTTTTTCTATTAGGTGATTTTAGTGATTTATATATAAAATAAGTGATGAGGTCCTCAAAGTTCCACAGTAAACTCTTCTGCAGCTATCTACTTAATTCAATAGCTACTTTACTGTTTTTAAATGTTTTGAAGCTTGTTGAAGTAGATGGAGTACAGGAATCTATAATTTCTTGCTAAAACAAAGACTACGATAATTAAATATGGTGTTCTAATGAACGGATTATTAAAACAATTTAAATGAAAAGGTTTTAAATTGAAATTATTTATGTAAGCTTGGAGTTGGAATAAAACCGGCGCCAAACAGAGAAAAATAATTTTATGTGCGCTTGGTGTTAAATAATACCACCAAGCCAATATAAGACACATAACCTAACAAATAATAAGTCAATGAACATTAAACTCATGGTACAACGAAACCATTAAACCCGCCAAATTTTAAATTATGACACGCCCTCCCACCAATCACAGCAAATGTACCCCGCTAGGTATAAGGTAGTCTAATCGCTATGGTCGCTATCTTTTTTGAAACATTATTGTGTTGCATACCGAGTACTCTGAACTATCGTACGTCTCCTTGTGATTCACCGTTTAGGAGTTGCTATGTGAAAGGCGGTAAACGCAACGTGACATGTCGGGCAACCCTTACGTTAATGGGATTAGCACTTAGCGCGTTAAAGAAGAAGAAGAATGGTCGCCAGCTTTGTTTTTGATAAATCACTGTGTTTCATGCCAAGTCCTCTTTAAAACGAACTATTGTACGTCTACCTTTAATACGACGTTTAGGATTAAAAATTTATTTTTTAATATTTTTAAAATAAAAATCACGTTCAAAATCACATATACTTATATTTCGCCGCTAAAATGACTAGTTCGCTCAACTAAGCTTGGTTTTTATAATTTGCATCAATATTTGGTAAAACTTTTGAAATTAATTCTTCTTTTGACGTTGTACATTAGCAAGAATTTAGAGGAAAATTAGAAGAGTCAACAGGAATGTTAGTCTTGCCACTCTCTAATAATACCTTTGAAAATACTTGTTCTTTTTGGCGGATTAATACCTCTATGGAAGGTTGTCACTCCATATTGGTTGTCT